GAAGCTAGGAGGGCCGCACAAGTGAGGTTCTGATTTTTCAGATGCCAGTCAGAGGACTGGTCAGATGTGAGCCCGCTGCGAGCCACAAACAGGTAACATCGCAGAACTCCTTAGCCCTTCCCTGGGGTAGTACACTGGCCTCTTACCAGAAACTTCTCAGGTGCCCGTCAATTACCATAAGGCCCCGTTTCTTTTCCTTTTCTTAATTTTTCTTTTTTTTGAGAGTGGAGTCTCGGTCCTTTGCCAAGGCGCTGTTAAAGCGCAGTGCCAAGCGACTCAGCTCCCCACAACCTCTGCGTGCAGGTTCAAGCGATCTCGCGCCTTCTTCTGACCTCAGCCTCCCTGAGCAGCCTGGGGCTACAGCCCCGCACCATACCAGGCTAGTATTTTGTATTTTTAGAGAGACGTGGTTTCACAATATTGGCGCAGGCTTAATCCTGACTTTGGTGATTCACCATACACTTTGGCCCTCCCAAAGTGCTGGGGATTACAGCATGAGCCACCGCGCCCTGTCATCAATAGAAGGCCTGTTTCATAGCATCGTGGCAGATGTTTATGATCCTTTAATGTAAAAATCCCCCAGAGGACGGCGTATGGATGGCCCTACACCTGAATCCTAGCAGCTTTGGGCGCCCTACGATGTGGGATCGGCTTGGATGGCCTGGAATTTGGACTGCTCATTGCAGTTTCTGCCTCCAGGACCTCAGGCGATTTTCTGCCTCGCCGCCCAAGTTAGTTGGGTACAGCCCATAGCACCAACCATGCGCCAGTTAATTCTTTTACATTTTTAGTAAGAGATAGAGTATTCTGCCCATGGTTGGCGCAGGCTGGTCTGGAACTCTTGACCTCACAGGTTTGATCCGCCCGGCTCGGCCTCCCAAAGTGCTGGACTCACCAGGTGTGGCCCACCATGCCCTGCTGTGATGAGTTTTAGAAATGCGATAGTGGTGATGGTTGTATAATGTTGTAATTGGACGTTAATCAACTTGCAATGCGCGGTTAAAAATGGTGAATATGTGGAAGTTTGTATGTTAATATTTACCAACAAATAAAAAATAGAAATCTCAATACTCCATGAGAAATCTCATACGTGCATACTTATATAGTCACTCCCCACATTTCCTTCACAACCGCCCCTGAGGCAGCTACTAATCTACCTGTTGTCTTTATAGATCCTATGCGGATATTTTCTTATAAAATTGAACATCATCATAAATGTGTGGGCTTTTTTGTGAGGGGAAAAGAAAGGAGATTCAGATCTGTTACTGTGTCTATATACGAAGAAGTAGACATAATGAACTCCATTATTGTTCTATAACGAAGAAAAACTTTTCCATCCTGGCTAACATGGTGAAAACCCCGTGCCCTCTACCTAAAATACAAAAAAAAAAAAAAAAAGAAAAAAAAAAATTCTTCTGCCATTGAGATGCTGTTAATCTGTAACCCTACCCCCAACCCTGTCCTTGCAGAGACATGTGCTGTGGTGACTCAAGGTTTAGTGGATTTGGGGCTGCGCAGGATGTGCTTTGTTAAACAAGTGCCCAAAGGCAGTATGTTTGTTAAAAGTCATCACCATTCTCTTAATGTCAAGTCCCCAGGGACACAAACACTACACACAGGGACCTCTGCCTAGGAAAGCTAGTTATTGTCCAAGGTTTCTCCCCATGTGATAGTCTGAAATATGGCCTCATGGGATGGGAAAGACCTGATTGTCCCCCAGCCCCGACACCCGTAAAGGGTCTGTGCTGAGGAGGATTAGTACAAGAGGAAAGAAGGCCTCTTGGCAGTTGAGGTAGAGAAAGGCATCTGTCTCCTGCCCATCCCTAGGCAATGGAATGAAACCCAATTGTATGTTCTATTTACTGAGATAGGAGAAAAGAGATAGGAGAAAAATCCACCTTAGGGCTGGAGGTGGGACGTGCTAGCAGGCAATGCTGCTCTTTATGCACTGAAAATGTTTTTGGAGATGTTTGCATATATGCACATCAAAGCACAGCACTTTTCCTTAAACTTACTCAGGTCACAGAGATCTTTATTCATGTCTTTCTGCTGACCTTCTTCCTGCTGTGACCCTATTGTCCTGCCACTTCCCCCTCTCTGAGATGGTAAAGATAATTATCAATAAATACTGAGGGAACTCAGAGACCGGTGCTGGCGTGGGTCCTCTGTATGCTGAGCTCCGGTCCCCTGGGCCCACTTTCCTTTCTCTATGTCTCTATGTTTCTGTGTCTCTTTCTTTTCTCAAGTCTCTTGTTCCACCTGACGAGAAACGCCCACAGGTGTGGAGGGGCAGGCCACCCCTTCATCTTTGTGATTGGCTTCTTTCATTGAGCATAATGTTTTCAAAGTTAATCTATCTTGTCACATCATATCAGTACTTCATCTCTTTTTATTGTGGAATAGTAATTCACTGTCTAGACAGACAATATTTTATTCATTCTTCAACTGATGGATGTTTGGGTTCATTCTACTTTTGGAGATTATGTATAATGCTTCTAGGAACATTTGTGTACAGGTTTTTGTGTGGACATATGTTTTCAGGTTTTTTTGGCGTATACCTAGGAGTGGAATTGCTGAGTTATATAATAAGTATTTAAGCTTTTGAGGAGCTGCCAGACTGTTTCCAAATCAGCTGTACCATTTTACATTCCCACCAGCACTGTATGGAGGCTCCAGTGTCTCCACATCGCGAACTGCTTTTGCATAAAGATTTAAATCATTCTTTCAAATGATTAAGCCAGGGACTTGTAGGATTATAAGGAGCCTTTAGAGACCAGCCATTCCAACTCTGCTACTTCCTAAATGAATTTGGTGCTTGTACTTGGCTTGGTATTCTTAGTGGGAAGCTCACACTAAAATCTCCCTTGTTAGGGAGATCCAGGGTGGCCTTAGCATACTCTTTCCTAGTGAGAACCCTAAATACACTGACATGTGCTGAAGTAAGTGTAGGTAGGGATTAAACTGGCTCGGGAATACCAACTTTAAGAGAGTTTCCAGATGCCTTATTCTCTGAATGAGAGTTCAGGGAAAGCCTGGATACTCCTGGCATTAACATTAGGGGCCAGTTGATGAGGAAGAAGCTTCAGAGCCAGCTTCCTGTTTGTCCTGTCACTGCCTCTGCCTGCTCCTCCCTCATACCCCCATATTTCCTTATCTGTAGAAGAGAGTTGCCAGCAACTTGCCAGGCCTCTTTCTGTCAGAGCTAGAGAAACCAGGCAATGCATTCTGTTGTATAAGATCAACATTCTTGCCTTTTTTTTTTTTTTTTTTTTGAGATGGAGTCTCGCTTTGTCACCCAGGCTGGAGTGCAATGGCACGATCTCGGCTCACTGGAACCTCTGCTTCCCGGGTTCAAGCAATTCTCTTGCCTCAGCCTCCCGAGTAGCTGGGACTACAGGCGCACGCCACCACGCCCAGCT